CTCGATGATGCGCGGTGGCGGTGTCGGTGGTGTCGGGATGACAGGTGGTGAAACCTGCCTTCTCGGTTGACGATTCTGGGTTAGGGAAGGCCTAGGAGTTGTGGATGTGGTAGGCTGCTTCCCTAACTTGACCTGCTTCCTGTTCTGTCGGCAGGTCCTCTCTATCTCTGGATCAAGTGGCAGTAAATTGCCAGTCGTCCTCCTTGGCATGCACAAGGAGGATAAACCTGAAAAATTCACCTGCACACTAACACCCAGATCAAAATAGTTCACTCACAAAAATCAATAAAAAACAAGGTATGGCAGTCCGCGGCAACGGCGCCTAAAACTTGATAGGGCAAAAGCGTATAGCTTCAATTCCTATCTTGTAGTAAACCGGAAAGTCCGGGTATCGTCTCTCAGGGACTGGTACAACCTTAAGTTATATTAATTTTATGAGCAAACTATAAGTAAAAACAGTTTAATGAGACTAATTTCTAAAGGCAAAATAAACTAAACAAATTAAGCAAATGAAAACTGTCGGGAGAAATTCAATGGAGAAAGCTCTGGGAGAAACACCGGGATTCACTACCTATCCTATCCTGATTAATTCATACATTCCAATCAATTTAATCCATATCTCTACAGCCAGGATATCACTACTGTGCTAGCTATCCCTGTCGGGCATTACTACGTACTAAATAATCAATTCAAATCCTACTGTTGTAGCTCAATGAATTAACTATTTAGCCTGAAGACCGATATCCCAATTAAGACCGCATAGTACCTTATTTAATCCACTGTCGCTTCGATAAGTTACTATGTCATATGAAATAGGTTCAGTTATTAGGATTTCACTGTCGCTAATAACCTAATTAACTACGATTCATTGTATTGGTGGCCAGTCAACACAAAGCATTAAGGAATTTCATGCAATAGAGATTGGAAGAAAAGAATCATGAATCAATCCATCAAATCAAGAACTAGCTACATCCTATGGTGTTTCCCCCAGAAATTGGGGTTTAGTTCATGACGAAATTAAGATAAAACAATAGGGTTTTGATCATCATGTTTTAAATCAACAAAAAACAAATAATTCGGACTAGAAAAAATCAAACCAAACCACTTGTTATTGTTGAAATAAGCTCACACTGTCCGGAGAAGTCGATCGTTAATCGCCAATCGCCTGTTGTCGCGCTGCCTGTTCCCTTTTGCTTTTTCTCGCCAAAGAATAATTCGCCTCCCCCAGAATTTTCGTCCCGCGCTGCTGCCTTCCCTTTTAGAATAATCCCCTCTCCACAGATTAATTGCCCCTGGCCCAATTCTCTCCCAGGCCCACAAGAATCGTCGTCCTCCAATATTTCCCAGCCCAAGAAATACTCACCAGCTTGCATGTCCCCCGCTGCCCAGCCTTCTTCAAGAATCCGGTCCAAAACCACCAAAGAAGCTAGCCCCATGTTGTTCCGTCCGTGTCCCATTTCTTTGGCCCAAGGAATTCCCAAAGAAAAGTCCACCGCCAGCCCAGCAAAAGGAGCCCAATCGAATGGGCTTTAGCTCATTTCATTAATCCCCATCCAGCTGGGCCTTGAGCCCAGCTTCGAGAATTGTTTGCCGGTGCAACTTCTTTTTCGTGTTTTCTTCACCTGTAATACATCAAACTCATGGCACTAGGCAGTAATGGTTTTTCAACCATTCTCGGGTTAGCGAGCCCTAAAATAACACCAATCGGCTTAAACATATCATGGATAATCACATAACGTCCAAAAATTCAATATGTTAAAGCCGATTATCACCCCTAAACTCCATCTCAGAAATAATGGCCGCAAAAGCCAGGTGCCGACGAAACAGGACTCTCAAGCTCCTCGAATGAATGGGAGCCGCATGCCTGGACCTATGGGTCAGGGGAGAAGCACCATTAACGTTGCTCGACAGGTGCCTCAGGCGGAACCTCGGGATGAACGACCGAATGAAAAGCAGAAGGTGTCCCGGCGGTCTGCTCCAAACCTGAACCCTTTGACTATGAGCCAAAATCGGGAAAAATCTCGACGCCGGCGCCTCATTCTTGAGGAAGAATCGGAGGACGAGTTTATTGTGCAGGAGGTGCCCTTGAAAGCCTGCAAATCCTCGCCTAAGCATGGCTCTGGAGCTAAGAAGAGGAATGGCAGGACTCCCAAGGTTGAAGGGAAGTGGGAAGCGCGCGAAGCTGACCTGGTGGCTCCTTTGCTGGACAAGGGTGCTCAGGTGACCAAGGCCGGCACTGGTGCTCTTTCCCAGCGAGGCCGTAGGCTGACAAAGGGAATCGGCCTGGCTTCGAGTTCGCTTGGAGGGGGGTTGGAAGAAAATGAGACTGAGCTGGGCGACTCCAGACCCGAGCCAATGGACTCGGACGATACACTTTTTGAAGAGGAATTTCACTCCTTTGAGCTCAAACGCCGTGTGCATGGTGGAAAAAAATTGAATGATGATAACCAGGAAGGGCGGGTTCAGAAAGTGGTCAAGGCCTTTGAATGCATCTCCTGCTAAAAAGTGGGTGCGCCGGCCTCGATCCATGGAGAAGCTCCAGCAGCAGGAGACAAGTGGAAAGGAAGATGGACAGCTGGGTCTTAATGTCCATGGATCCAACATGGGTGATAATACCGTTGGGGGTATTAAACGCTCTTTGGATAATCTTGTTGGAGATGCTGCTGAGGCTCCCACTTCAAAGAAGCAGTTTGTGGAAGAAAATGATGAATTGGAAAAGGTGGAGGAAGCCAGCCTCGAGTGGCCCCAGCCTGATAAATGAGGCTTCTGGCATGAAATGTGAGAGGAATTGGGTCATCCCTCACATTCCAAACTGTTGTAGGTTTAGTTCATTCCAATAAATCGGATCTCATGTTCTTCTCGGAGACGCGCTCGAGCCGGAGAGTAGTGACCCGTTGTATGCGGAGGTTAGGTTATGATCTTTCTCGTTGCTTCTTTGTCGATGCTGTTGAGGCATCCGGAGGCTTAGTTGTTGCTTGGTCCCCCGAAGTTGACGCTTCGGTGTTTTTCCATTCCAACTTTTGTATTTGCACGCAAATTAATGAAGTGGATTTCTCCTATGTTGTGGTTTTCGTTTACATTAATTGTAATATTTCGTTAAGAGCTACTCAATTAGCTCAGCTGCGTGAGATTTGCGACAGTTTCCATCGTCCTTATGTTGTCATTGGGGATTTTAACACCACTCTGCATGAGGGTGAGAAGGATGATGGTCTGCCTTGGAAAGCTGTCCAATCTCTTAGCCTGCGGGACTTTATCCAAGACTTGGGACTCCATGATCTAGGTTATCAGGGTGATCAATTCACTTGGACAAACAAGTGAATGGGCGTTGCTTGTATTCGTGAATGTCTGGATCGGGCGATCTGCTCCCAATCTTGGATTGATCGATTCCCGGAAGCTTTAGTTAAACATTTAACGGATCAGGGGTCGGACCATCGTGCCATCCTCCTATCAGACAAGACCTATGTGCGCAATAGTCGCCCCCTTTTCCGTTTTGACGCCCGTTGGGCGGACAATCCTGAAGTTAAGGCCATGGTTACTTATGTCTGGCAGGAGGAGATTCAGGGCACCCCTATGTTCTGCCTTTGGGAACACCTTAAAAGGCTTCACCATCTGCTTTATGACTGGAGTAGGGAGGGAACTACAAATTCCCTGCGGAATATCAAACCTCTCCAGACGGAGATTGAACGGATTAAGTTAATACATCCAATAGATTGGGATGTGGTTAGAAATCTTGAGGTTGAGCTTAATCGCCAATGGGAGGCAGAGGAGATCTACTGGAAGCAAAAATCCAAGGTCTAGTGGATAAAGAAGGGGGATCAAGACTCTTCCTGCTTTCATACGGTTACACGAACTCGCAGAAAACGGAATTTTGTTGTTGGCCTCCATGGGGTCGAAACAAGCACCGGGATCTGACGGATTTACGGGCAAATTCTTTAAGACTTTTTGGGATGTCGTGGGTGATTCGGTGACTGAGGCATTCTGCTCTTTCTTTGTGTCAAGTCGGATGCTCAAGAGTTTTAATCATACTTGGCTCACCTTGATCCCTAAGGTGGATAACGTGGAGACTATGAGGCAGTTGCGGCCAATCAGTGTGTGCCAATTTGTTTATATAATAATAACCAAAATTATGGCTGAACGGCTTGCGAGTTTCCTTCCACATATCATCTCGGAGGGTCAAAATGCCTTCACTCGAGACCGGCAGATCATTAACAATATCCTCATGAAAAGCTTTTCTCATTGATTAAGTGTAGGCCCTTTTTTTCGAAAATTAAAATGAAGCTTTTCATGGGACATCAATGGTAAAAATGAATCTTTTTTATATCTTAATGTAAACGGTAAGAAGGAATTATCATGTGACAGGCAATTAGTATTCTTATTTGTTTTGTTGATTGTTTTAAAACTTCAAATTTTGATATGGTGGATCAAATTAATTTTGATGATGATTTTGAAAGAAGTTTTTCAAAGTTGAAGTTGTTGAAGTCTTATTTGCGCTTTACAATGACAGAAGATAGTCTTAACGGGTTAGCGATGTTGGTAATTGAGAATAACTTCTTGGATGATGCAAAGATGGAAAAGTTAATAGAGTATTTTATTTCAAATAGTACTAGATGATTGTTACTTTTTTAAAAAATGATAGATAATATTACTTATTTTGTAATCATTTTTTAAACTTTTGTATTTTTATTATTGATTTAATAATTTTTATTTTTAATAAACTTATGAGAGAAAAAAGGGCCAAATTTTAATTTTCGAACAAGGCCTCCGAATATCATGGGCCGGCCCTGGGGGGAACAGAGGGGGCTAATATGTACATTAATGGAAAGAGTGAGGACTAGATCGTAAATGTTTACATGTAGGGTATGTTGTGGTGCTAACAAATTGGTTCCTTGATTCAGGGAAGCTTATAGAAACTCGACGGAGGAGGAGATGACAACTTGCTGCTTCTGCAATTGTATCTCGGATAAAAAGCCAGAGTCGTTCGAGGCACACGGAGAGGACATTTGCAGCAGTTCGAGATCTCTCGGCGTCGTTACTGGCATGGAGGCTCTAGTTACCATGCCAAATCTGTAGCTGGAGGTGGATTCCCTCCTCTCTTTTTGAGAAGAGAAGGTTGGACGATCCATACTTCGAAATCCCGGGATTTCAAGCTGGATGAAGCTCTGGGCGTGGATTCAAACCTCCGAGCTCGCCTTCCGGATTTCGACTTTGTGTTGCCCGATGAGAGAACTAATCATATTTTGCTGCCTAGGGTGGTGGGGAAATGGTACTGTCCTTTCTTGTTCGTTAAGGAATCGAGAATGAATGTTAAGGATCAAGTCGATCGTTCGAGATTCTACGAGATGACGCTGGAGCAGCAGTAGGAGCCAATTTTTATATGCAACAATGGCATTGAAGGAAATACCAACTTGTTCATGAATGTAGATGTTTTGATTGAGACCGAAGTCGTGAGAGTTGGTGAAAGGGATGTGGCGGGGCATATGGTTGGAGAAAATGATGGAGTAATTTGGTTTAGAAGGGTGGGATTGGACAATAATGCAGGGGAAGAAGGGATAAGGGTTGGGCTGAGCAAGGTGATTGTGGAGAGGATGAAATGGGAGGAGGAAAGAGTTGGGTGGAGAAGTGGTGAAGGTGGGAAGAATAGGGTGAAGAAAGTTGAGGAGTTTGGAGGTGGCGGTGGCGGTGGAATGAACAATTGGAAGAGGTTTGGGTATTTTGTGTTGGTTGAGAGATTTGTGTTGAGGAGAATGGATGGTGATTTTCTGATGAGTTATGAGTTTAAGCATATTCATCAATTTAGGAAAAAATGGGAGTAGATAATTAGTCCCTTATTATTTTTCATTTTTCATTTGTATAAGGTGTTTTATAGGTGTTCTGTATCGTTTAGATATGAACCATATAAGGAAAAAAGATGTTCTATGATTTTGTAGGAAATATGTTCACGTTAGATGCAACTCTTTTCTATGAACCTATATAATTTTTTTATCGTGTAAACATAAAATCGATGATCCATGTGTAATAATCCTTGATTATTTTGTCATAAGTTACAATTCTTAACTATTATGCGTCATTTTTTCCATGAATTTTATTTTACGTTGGTTGGTGAATGGTGATTGTGGCACGAAAGAAAAACATTGCTAGCGATTATCTCTTAAACAGTTTAGTTTTTAAGTTTAACTTCTACAATGTCAGACCAACCCAATGAATAATTCCTTTGATTCCGACTCTTGAAGTTGTACTACTTTGATTGAATTAGGTCTAGCAGTTATCAAATAGTGAAAAGAAAACGTCCTCTCCATTTCACATTAAAATAAGAGAGCAGGTAGGGTATAAAATCCCGACGTGCAAAACCCAGTAGTATAATAGGAGAACATTTTTTTTAGTAGGATATAATACGAGAACTCTAATACTAGATTGGATCCACATCTTAACCTTATTTCTCACATGATTGGATGCGATTTACATTTAACCAATCACTTATGGTTCTTGGAGGCTGTAGTGGTCATGAGGTGGGCAACGTCTAATTCACACCGGATCGAATCGGATCAAGCATATTTCGATTTAATTAATTATTTTAGATATGAAGAAAAAATTAACCGAAATTGAATTTGAACCGAATAGAGTGGAACCGAACATACCTTTTACCTGTTTCTGTCCTCAATTTTCCCCAATTTTTTGTCCGGTCTCAAGTCATCTCGATCCGATTTTGATGTACACCCTAATTGTTAGTTTTGGTGAACTCATTTTTCGTGAATTACTGGAAACGGCGCCATTGCAAATAGCCCACTGGCGGGAAAAACCGGGCTTCGTGGGCCCGTCTACATTTTTAGCTTTGGCCCCTTTTACATTTTCACATCACTCGACAGTCGGACAGACGGACACAGAACAGATTGAATAAGGCGCTCACTTTATAAACCCTTCCTCCTCCAAAACCTCGGAGATCGCTGCTGCAAAATCCCAGGTATATCCTTTCCCCCTTAATTTGCTGCAAAGCAGTAGAAAACTAGAAATCTTTCTCTCTATTCAGCGCGGGAAAATTTGGCTCTCCCCAGGAACCAAAACTCGTTCTTCTCTTCACCCAACGGTGGAAGAAGAGAGAGATTAGGGCGCTCTCTCTCTCTCTCTGTAAACTTCCATGGCGAATGTAATCGATCAGGATCAGCAGTGGCTACTCAACTGTCTCTCTGCCACGCTCGACCCTAACCCGGAGGTCCGTAACTTCGCAGAGACTTCTCTCAATCAGGCCTCTCTTCAGCCAGGTTTCCCCTCGCTCCCTCCCTCCCTCCTTTGTGTCGTTCTTCATCTTGCCGCGGCAGGAATGAGTTCCTAATTTAACTGAATTCGGAACTCAAATTTGCTACTCGCTGGTCACTTAGGGGCGATCGGCAATTAGGATTGTGAACTTCTATGCCTCTATCCTTCTATGCTGCTCTGCGATTCACTGTTGCAGCGTGTCTAGGCATGTAAAAAAGCATACATTATTATGTTTAAGTTCCATTTTCCTGGTTCCTTCATAGTTTAAGCCGAGAGAACTGTCAGCATAGGCTTTCTCTTGGTTGGGGAACTCATTTCCGTGTGCTAGACTATGTATTTCTGCACATTGTTGGTTGTGGAAGGTTGGAATATAGTGTTAGGCTGCTGCATCAAACCCTAACTTGCATGTCATGTTTAGTCGAACTATTATTAGGAGATCGATAGTCGAGATGGTGAATTAGTCTAGGAGATACCCTCGTTTTCGCAAGCAATTGTTAGGAGACTGATGGTGACTTCTATAACAGTCGATCTCTATATTGTATGTCACTGTAGGATTTGGAGGGGCGCTATCAAGGGTTGCAGCAAACAGGGATCTCTCACTGGGTTTGCGACAGATATCCTCTCTTAGCAATATTGTGTCCTTGTAGATTGTTCTATTGTCTTGCAGCTTGTCTGTTATGATATTCTTGTTCTGCTTGTTTTTATATATTCATTCAAATCCGACTAGAAATTTTGTGTAGCAAGTGATTGTGGAATCTAGGACTTCAATTTTTTTGATTCATATGAGGAATGTTCCAATCCTCTTTTGACATAAGAAAATAAGCAGCCTCTGACTGCTAGCTGTCTGTTTCTGTCTTTTGGTTGCTTGATTTGGTGAGTGTAGCATTACGTAAGAATTTGAGGGCAGCATATGTGAATATTTTGTCTTTTTTGTTGGATTTAACAAGCTTTACCTAGCTGCGGTCCTTTTAAAGCAATTCATTCGGAAACACTGGGAAGGAGATGAGGATGTTACAGTATCTGTGGAAGAAAAGGTAACTAGGAAAAGAGATTTCTTTGTTTCTTATCCTGGTATCTATTAAGTTAGTTGTTTTTCCCTCATTTTCTTTTTCAAGTATGGCCGAGGGATGAGCTAATATGCATTTAGTTGCCACCTTACCGTTGGAAAAAAAAACCCCCTAGATTGACTGCTCAGTGTTTAATGTCTCATTTTTGGGCTTCTAAAAGACTCACTTCAGATAACATGAAAGAATTGTGGTTTATCCTTCTTAAACAACATAGGTATTAGCATACATAACTGCTTCTATGATTGTTTGCTTTCAGGGAGTTATACGTAGGAACCTTCTAGCTTCGACAGATGACTCTCATCGGAAAATCTGCACAGCAATTAGTATGGCCATAGCATCGATAGCTGCTTATGACTGGCCTGAAAATTGGCCTGAACTTTTACCCTCACTTCTTACTCTCATCAAAGATCAAAGTAATATGACCAGAGGTACGTTCTTGTTGTCCCTTTGCTACCTCTCTGTCTTGATAAACACGAAGGCTTGCATGAAAATATGAAAGCTACCTGAACAGTGATATGGGAGAAAAAAGCGAGAACTGAAATGTTTGGCAGAGAATAAATAAGGCAAAACTGGAAAAATGGACCTCCTGGCACTCAGCTTAGGTTAAATTGTAGATGGCCTTTGTAACGGTTAACATGATGATCAGAAGATGGCATTTGCCATTGTCAGTTCAGTTTACTATCTTGACATGTAGCAGAACTTTTAGGTTACAAAACAGCTTTCCATGTTTCTTTTCTGGAGGTAGTATATCACATTGAAGTTTGTGAAGACTGATCTTAGAGACCCCTTGTGCTGCCATTGTCAGTTAAGTTTACTATCCTGACGTGTAGCAGAACTTTTAGGTTACAAAATGGAATTCCATGTTTCATTTTTGGAGGTAGTATATCACATTGAAGTTTGTGAAGACTGATCTTAGAGACCCCTTTTGCCAATTACTTGATTGTGCAATCACGTTGAACATTGCTTGTGTGAGGTATTGATTGTTCTCAAGTGTTTTTGCTACAAACAAGGCACATAATAATGTCTATCGAAGGCTACCAAATTTGTTTCAACTATTGCAGAAGCCATCTACCTTGGTCTTCTAGCTGTAGAAAATGTTGAATTAAAAGTTTCGCATAACTGGATCCTTTTTAGAATATTATGGTACATTGAGTACAGCTGAGCTATGTCAAGCTCCTTTATCGATTTCTGATAGTTACTGACCCCAGCTGACATCCATAAGCTCATTGGTCTCTGGTTCAAACAACCAGACTTAACAATCATCAAATGGTCTTGACTAATAAGTTCTCTTGCAAGAATGTGAATTCCTGTAGGTTATAAGATGTTTTCCATTTTTTTTTATAATGGTGATAAGATGTTTTCTGTTCTTAATCATATGCTTGTTTATTGTTTCGGTGGTGTTTAAGGATTATAATACAGTTCTAAGAACTATTTCCATTTGCAGTGCAGGGAGCTCTAAGATGCTTGGCTCTTCTTTCTGCCGACCTGGATGATACAGTGGTGCCAACGTTAATACCTGTGCTATTCCCAAGCTTGCATACAATTGTGTCATCTTCTCAGGTCAGTTTTACTGTTTTAGCCTGTCTGTTTCATCACATTGTTGTTCTTGTCAAGAGGCTTTTCATTGACCAATTCTGTTTGTTTAATCGTTATTTGTGAAATTGTTCTGTATATCCAAGTGTAGGAACCTTGGACATAGATTATAGTTAGATGAGTTATTTTGTTTGTTAGTTATTCTGAAACCAAACTTGTCTTTTACCTGTTCTTTACTGGGGACACTAGCTTGAATAGATCCCATAGTGGATTTCAGTGCAGTTCAGTTCCGTACCAACTTCATCCATCAATTAGACATTTTGAACTTCATTTGTTATCCTAAATTAACTCTCCTACTTCATTTATTTAATAAGCGATGTTTGCCTTAAGGTCCTCGTTAGTTAAATGGTTTTAATACAGTAGGCCAACCCCATGGGGTTCATCTTTTAAATGTTGGTAGACGTATGTAATTTTTCAGAGGTTAGTTTTGCAGACTTATAACATGTATCTACGCTCCAAAGCACTCTCTATTGTTTACTCATGCGTCTCGGTGATCGGGGTTATGAGTGGTGTATATAAGGTATCTTCTATAAGTTACACGGCTTAAGTTCTATTTATTATTTAATATATCTTTTTGCAACTAATAATATTATTATACATCTTATTTTTCAGAAGGAAACCATGGCACTGATGGCACCAATGCTTAAGCCATGGATGGATCAGTTCGCTATTATCTTAGGACAGCCTTTGCAACCTGAGGATCCTGATGATTGGAGCATGAGGATGGAGGTTAGTGTTGATTCTGTTTTGATGACTTATGTTGTTGTCACAATTAATGCTGATAGAATTTTGTTCACTAGGTGCTGAAATGCTTGAATCAGTTGATTCAAAATTTTCAAACTCTTGCTGAAGGTGAATTTATGAGTAAGTTCTATCTGGTGTTAGTGATATATGAATATATATATTTTTTCTTTTTAATATTTAATTGTCTTTTGGTTTACCTTATTACTGTAGTTGTTGTGGAGCCTTTGTGGCAAACATTTGTCAGTGCCGTGGGAGTATATAGGCGCTCATCCATTGATGGAGCGGATGATTCATTTGAAGGTAATTATGACTCTGATGGTGCAGACAAAAGTCTCGATTCATTTGTCATTCAGGTGAGGGTTCCACTTGTATATATTAAATGTCGAAAGATAGTAGTATCTTACACTGAGAAAATTCGTCTGGAAGGATTTGATCTAAGTTAACTTGTTTAAATTATGGTTTGAGCCGATGTGCTTAATTATTTGTTTTCGGTGCATAAAATTTATATAGGCTTCCTTTTTGGTTTTGGTACATAAAACTTCCATTGTTTTTGGTATCTAAATATTGTTTTAAAGTATTTATTCATATTGCATGCTATTTTAATAAGGTATATTACTTTCTAAGTGAATATAAGCCGTCAAAGAGTAAGCTGAACAGTTAGAAATGGAATAAAGTTTACTTCATATCTTTCAAAACCTTTTGAGCTCGATGAATGATGAGCTTGAAGGTAGCACTTCCACATATACTCTTTGCTTATTTGCTAATGAACTTCTCTTTTCCCTTATTCTCAGATAGATTTAAATAGTTAGTTGCTTACATCTTTTTTATTGGACAGCTTTTAGAGTTTCTCTTAACCATTGTGGGCAGTGCAAGGCTAAGAAAGGTGAAGACTCACACTCGGTTCTACTTGGATTCTTTTATTTTTCATTTAACATTTTCCTGTGCTGTGCTCACAATGCTTTGAACTTTTGTAGGTTGTTCTGAGTAATGTTAAGCAGTTGGTATATCATACAGTAGCACTTCTTCAAATGACCGAGCAACAGGCAAGGTTTTTATTGTTTATTAAATTAAAATGAATTCTTGAAATCCACATAATATGGTTTCTTCATTCCATCACTTTCATCCTGTCTTGCTCCCTTAACTCTTACAAAGGATAGGGGAGCTAGCGAAAACATAATGTAGGTGAGTATGAGATCTTGTTTGATACATCACTCTAGTTTGGTGATTGAGAAGTGAGAAGTGACCAATAAATCCACGTTTAAGGTGATAAATAAGGAGATAAATTGTGGGAGCCGTCGTCTTTTGCTGTGTCAAATGAGACAAGGGAAGGGAATGCCTGCTACATTATATTATAGAAAATTTTGAGTCAAGGTCTCCCATTGAGTTTGGAAGCATTACATATGTACTACTGATTCTGAAGGCCCTAAATATGGTACACTTACATTCGGGTTTTATGACTATTGGACTGGAGTAGGTTCATACATGGTCAATGGATGCTAATCAATTTGTGGCTGATGAGGATGACGAGACTTATAGTTGTCGTGTTTCTGGTAAGCACTTTTTCAAGGAAGAACATATTTTTCTTGATCACATCTGCAGAACTTGATGCCCAATCGTTGCACTGACTAAATAATAGTTTCGGTTGCCTTTTCCACACTCAAGGATGCTAATTATGGAGTGAGGAAGAACCTATTGAATTGTGCTGTATCATTGGCTTCTGTATTAACTGTTTGGTTACAACTTACATGTGTGGGGAACCTGGTCATGGCTGTCAATTACAGTTTGTAAAAGGGAAACTCAAACCAACTTGATGCCCAATTGTAGAGCTTTACTAGATATGGTTACGGGTTACCTATCTCTAATCTGCAAACTGGTAACGAGTATTCACACAGGATAATGCATTAGGTGTTTGATACTCGAATGTTAGTTTCTTTAATCTGTAAATTCGGACAAAAACATGATAGCATAGGCCTGAAAATATTGTTTGTGATGGTTAATCGTACTTGTAGTCATAGTTATCATAAATTGTGCCTTAATGTTTTAATCTCTGATACTGTCGCTAAGCAATTACTATAGTACAGTAATGAGGATAACAACAATGGATTCTGCTTTTCAGAAGCTTAAGCTTCCATAGTGATGTGTCTCCTTTAAATTCTCTCTGCAGGTGCCCTTTTACTGGAAGAGGTGATAAATTCTTGTGGTGTAGAAGGGATCAATGCGATTATAGATGCTACGAGAGAGAGGTTCAGCGAGTCCCAACAAGAACAGGCCGCTGGTTCAGCAGTGTGGTGGAGAGTAAGTGAAGCAGTTTCCTTCTAGATGAATTGTTATTGTTGGAAATTGTTGACAACTGTGCAAGTTGGAATCTCTACTTGTTTGGTTAAGAGGCATGGAATGCGTGGTAGTGCAAAAGTAATTCAGTAAGAAGGGACTGCAACTCCAAAACCCGTCTTTTAAAAAAGTTCCAAGTCACTGATATACCTTAAATTGTTAATGTTTGTTGGAAATAACAGATGTAAAGTAGTTATCGTTGAAGGAGAAAAAGAAATTTATGTTTATTGTTTTCTCTCTAGTTTTTCATGAAATTTGAGTTATCACCTGTAGTTTGTCACACCTGCTCTACATTTAGTTCTGTTAGTGTCTCACTTTCTGTTCAGTTCAGGCTCCAAAAAGGTTGGAAATGATTCTTCTCCACTCTCTTTCCTTGTCTTCTATATATTCTATTGGATCACATCCAGGCAGGCAGTCTTGATTGCATTAACTTTCTTTACCTTAATTACTTTTTGTTTGAAAGTAACTTCCTTTACCTTAAGTCTCCATATAATTGTAAGGTGCTTTACAAGAATGGTGATGCCACCTATTGCTGTGGATCTTCATCCATATGTTGGATTAACATCCTGATTTCGATTCATGGAAATTGACTCCCCAATTTCTTTAATTTGAAAATTAATTTCCCCATTTAGAGATGTTATCATGAGTATTAGACAATCTACGGGTTTCATGTTATGATTTTGTGTGTATTTCCTCCCAAATAACTATAACCTCGAAAAATTTGGCAGATTAGGGAGGCAGCACTCTATGCTTTGGCTTCTGTCTCAGATCAGCTGCTCGAAGCCGAGGTATTTATTAAATTTCTAAATGTTTGGTGGATGTCCTTGGTGTTGTTTTCTTAATATGGAATTCTTTGTTCAGGGTTCTGGGGGTACCAACATTTGCTTAGGAAAGCTTATAGAGTCGCTTGTTGCTGAAGACATTATAATTGGTATTTTTTTCCTACTTGTCCTTTCACTTTGTTCCTTCTCTTCTAAACCTATGTCCTTGTCATCCACATTTTTTTCTCTCTTCATTTATGTATATGCCATACCAATATACATCATTTTTTGTGATACTTATGCAGGGCCGCATGAATATCCCTTTCTTTGTGCCCGTGTTCTTACGTTGGTCGCTAAATTCTCCCCTGTGGTAACTTACACTTTCAGTTTATTTTGCAATAGTTATTTATTTTGTAAATTTATAATAAAGTTTTATCCTACACAGATCAGCCACACGGTCCTTCAGCAATTTCTTTACGCTGCAATGAAAGCTGTTGGCATGGATGTGTGAGTGTTCTTCGTGTGTACTTGAATCGCTTACTTGTGCGGACACATCCTTTGATGACTGGTTTTCATGTGTTAGGCCCCCACCTGTGAAGGTAGGTGCTTGCCGAGCGCTTTCTCAGCTTCTGCCTGAAGCTAACAGAGAAGTTGTCCAACCTCAACTAATTGGTTTATTATCATCCCTTACAGATTTACTTCAACAGGTAACTCTTAAGACTTAAACTATCTTCAGTATTTTTCGATTTTTTATTTATTGCAGAGCATCTTCTGTGTTTTTTTGTTACTCCAATGTGCTGGCTGTTTTCTGCTTTACAGGCATCTGATGAAACTCTACACCTTGTCCTTGAAACACTACAAGCTGCAATTAAGTCAGGTCAGTAGAGCACTAATCATTAGTTGTTATAGTTTGTGGCTCTTTGCCTCACAGCTTAATATTCAAGTTTTTTGTCAAAAAAATATTTTAGGTGCCGAAGTAACTGGGCCAATTGAGTCTATCATCTCGCCTGTGATTCTTAATGTGTGGGCGTCACATATTTCTGATCCTTTTATTGGTATTGACGCGATTGAAGTTTTGGAGGTAATATTCTCGGTGTCCTCACAGTTCTCATGGTCTATGAATTTGTTTGGTTCCATGTATTTTCTACTTTCCTCATAATGTTTCTGATTCAAATCCAAATGCACTATCCGGGGCAGCAGCATATGATTGACTTAGAACTGTAGTACCGTGTCTTTGGTGTTTTGTTATATTATGCTAAAGTGTTTACAAGGGATAACAAGATATTCTCACAGTCAACAATATTGAGCTCTTTTAACTTCTGAGATACTAATGAGGAGATGGATAAACATACTTTGTTAATATTGCTGGAGCCATGAAAAGGAAGCAAATAAGGATATGCTCTGATCAATCTAACTCTATCGAAGCAACGGATATTAGTACATGATGAGAAAATTCACACTTTCTGTGCCAGGAACATGAGCATGGATGGAACATGGAAAGTCAACCATTAGATAGAATCTCAGACTACTACATGTGTTAATTCTTTCAAGAGTTTACTGATTTTTCTGTTAGTATATGTTATGTATGGCTAGTTGACTGAATGGGTTTTCTTCTGTAATTTATCCAGTCAATTAAGAATGCACCTGGTGGTATTCATCCATTGGTTTCTCGAGTTCTGCCTCATGTGGGGCCAATTTTGAACAAGGTATAGATGAAACTATGCTGATAAACTTCTTATGGTTGATCTGGTCATTTGAGGTTATTAATTAATTGTGACTCTTCTTTTTTACTAATTGCCAGCCACGAGAGCAGCCCGAAGGTTTGGTAGCTGGATCACTTGATCTGGTGACCATGCTACTGAAGGCAAGTTATTATTGATAAAAATGATATCATACTGCCCTCTATATCCATATGATAATTCTTGTATGTTTTCTAAAACTGCTTTAATTGCGATAGCAATGTACAGAATGCTCCAATGGATGTTGTGATGGTATTATATGATGTTTGCTTCGACGCTGTAACTAGGATTGTTCTTCAGAACGATGACCATAGTGAACTGCAGGTTAGTTTCTTCTACCATCCACATCAATTATTCTTTGGCTATCTTCCTCAGGTGTTATGAAATGTTGATCCTTTGTTTGGCTGCATCCTTTCTAGAATGCAACCCAGTGTTTGGCTGCATTTATATCTGGGGGAAGGCAGGAAGTTCTTGCTTGGGCTGCTGATTCTGGATTTGCGATGAGAAGTTTGCTTGATGTAGCTTCAAGGTACTTCTATCTTTCTAGTTCCTCTGGTTTTGTTAGGTTATTTTGCTGATCTGTTGCTCTATAGCCTCATAATACAATCAGATTCATGCCATTAGCAAGCTGATGCCTATTTTATTAAAAGTATTGTTGCTTGTATAATGTGCATTGGTAGATCCAGTTTCTGATGCCAGTGCTCCTGGTTGTGCAGGCTTCTTGATCCCAATCTTGATAGCTCCGGTTCTCTTTTTGTGGGGAATTACATTTTGCAACTTATTTTGCATCTACCACTGCAAATGGCACAGCATACCCCGGATCTTATTGCTGCTCTTGTTAGAAGAATGCAGTCTGCTCAAATAGCTGGATTGAGAAGTTCATTGATAGTTCTTTTTGCTAGATTGGTATTGTTTTCTGTACATATATGACTCTTGCTATTTTGAATCTTCAGAAGTATTCCTGAAGTTGAAAGTCAAAGTTACATGGTATAGCACATAATAACCATAGTGGTAATGTGGGCATCTGTGAACAATACTTGAGTGAGGCTTTGAACTTCGAAGGTCACTTGTCTTTTCAGGATTGTATCCCACATAGAATAAACAGCACATTAATATACAACCATGCACTTCTGAATGTTTTCCTTCTTTGTGTGTTGAATATGAACAGGTCCACATGAGTGCCCCAAATGTGGAACAGTTTATCGATTTGCTTGTTAGTATCCCAGCTGCGGACCACGATAATGCCTTTGTTTATGTCATGTCAGAATGGACAAAGCAACAAGGTATTTTTACTGCACCCAATATGCCTATACTGTGTTGTAGTCTGTTTAAACCATTTGATTTTGTGCCCTGAATGGAAGTTATTGTTGAAGCTCAAATATCTTACATTGGCAAGCCAATAAATCTGACAGGAGAGATTCAGGGAGCCTATCAGATTAAGGTGACAACCAGTGCTTTGGCTTTGTTGCTCTCCACCAGGCACCCTCAGCTTGGAAAAGTGAATGTGCAAGGCCATCTAATCAAGGTTGATGTCTGCCATTAACTTTTGAATGCTTCTTGCTTGACGCAGCTAGTCATCTCCTTGTTGATGGCATTAATTTCTTTTTGAACATTTTTGTGTGGGTACAGTCTACAGAAGGGATAACTACACGCTCAAAGGCTAAAGTGACCCCTGAGAAATGGACCGTGGTGCCACTACCTTTCAAGGTACTCCCATTACTGAAATGTGAGATTGAAATCTGATGCACAATCTGGTTTGTGAATGGAAGTGCGTCAGTAGAAAAAGATCATTAGCAGCATACTTAATTTATGGAAACTTGGCAGCATACTTAAGTAGTTCTCCATGAATTCTATTCTAACATACATGTCCATTCAATAATTTCTGGTATCCTAGTTGAAGACTGTTTTGCTTGGTTACTGCAGATAGCGTCTTTACTGGCAGACACACTTCTTGAAATGCATGAACAAGTTCAGTTTGATGATGATGAGGTACAACTGGGTAAATTTATACTTCCTGCGTCATTCGGATAAGTATTGTTGAAAGGAGTTACAGGCTTCCAGCAAACCACTATTGCAGGAGAACGAGTGGGAAGAAATTGAAGAAGAGGACAAGGATGGGGACAAAGATTTACTGTATTCAGCTGCTGCTGGTCTATCATCTGGAAGAGCCACATATGACCAACTTGAAGCCATGGCAAAAGTTTTTGACGGGGTCAGTTGATGAAACGAGATGGGAGTCTTTCTTTCCTTCTTTCATGGGTGCTTCACTTTGTAATGCATTCATGTCAAGTACTTAACTCAGCTGTTTTTGTTTTTCTTCTAAAGGATCAAGATGATGAAGATGACGAAGAACTATTAAGCGCTGGAGATCCGTTAAACCAGGTGTGTGTTTTTTGTGTGATGTTCCCACACAATTGAAACACTTTATCTGGTCTTTTTTAGTTAAAGCTGTGGTTCTTTTGGCAGATTAATGTGGCATCTTACCTCGGCGACTTCTTTACAAAGTTGTGGAAGGAGGACAGGCAGCTGTTTAACCATTTGTGCCAGGTTTGACTGACCTATCCATCCTTCAACAATCAACAAAGCATTTTACTGAAAATTCAGCTATCCAAAGTCGCAACTCTTGTTCGCGGTTCCTTTTTCTTTGATTAGCATAAATCCTCAAGTTCTCTTTTTGCAATGCTGGAAACTGCAGAACTTGACGCAAGATCAAGTGCAGGCTATTCAGACAGTAGTGGTACATAGCTGAGCCATGATTCGTGATGGTGTGGATTGCTTGCGAGGCTGTGCGTTCGTTACATTGCTCGGTCATTCCTTACAGAGCTTTTTGGCATCAGTTTTTGGACCAGGATGATCATTCTTCCCACCAATTGATTTCAGGAGAAAAAAGCAACAACCCGGAAAGGAACAAGAAAAACATAAAAAGAAAGGAAGAAAGATGAAACAGAGGTAAATGGACAGGCCAAAAAAACATAAAAAGAAAGGAAGAAAGATGAAACAGAGGTAAATGGACAGGCCATTTTAGGCCGGGGTTTAAAATGCCCATTGTCCCATTCTTTGTGCAGTTTGTTCCTGGTTCTAGCTGTCTAGTGATGCATGGTAGTGCAGAAGAAATCGGTTTCCAGTTTTTCAATATTTTTCTCTCTAGGGTGGTGTTTGGTTTTGTTTGGAGTTGGTTGTGATTGTGCTGGGGTGGAGTTGTGAAAATCTGGCATCATGAGGCTATGCGAGCAGGAACAGGCGTCGTGTTGAACTTGGGTTCATGAGCGATGTGCGTAGCAACTATTTGAGTGCTTCGTGTCTTTTTTATCCAATTCGTTTTTTGTTTGATCCATTGCATGCCTCATCTCAGTCCAGCGATGCAGCCAAAGGTTGTGGATGTTTATTGACAATGGTGATGTGTAGGATGAAATCCAACAGGTAGTAAGACGCATATTAAGACTGATTGGTTGGGGTGTAAGCAGTGATGGCAATGAGGCGGGCTGGGGTGGATATCTCAATACCGATTCTCGTCGTGCGGGTTGGGTTGGGGCGGATAACATAATACATGCAGAATTTTACATTTGAAGATAAAATAAGGGAAAATGCTTTATGGGTGAAAAATAGTGACAATAGAATAGGTAATTTAGTTTAACTAGTTGATGCAAAGTCAAAATACGAGAAATATGAATAGATATTGTAAGAATTGAGATCGAATAGGCCAAGTACGGAGCGGGGTGAGGCAGGGTGTATTAGAAGTAGATATTCATGTCCTGTCACATGTACTGCAAGTCGTGTAGTACCCGCCCGTTGCGTGTTAGGGCGGGTAATCCCTGATGAGGTAGGTTCAAATTGCCATCAAGGTGTAAGTTTAGTCCTAGAGATCCAATAATTTGTATGTTTTGACCCACCCTGAGGGTTGGCCAACTTTCTCGAGAAGGGATGGGAAACATGTTTCGTATCATTTTGATTGAATACTATGGGATCAATTTGTCTAGAGAGTTAGTTTAGGGTTGAGTCAACTTTTGATCTATAAGGGTCAGATTAACATAGGGTCGGATCACTTTTTGATCGTGTGGGCCTAAACAACTAGTAATATGAAATTCCTCATATCAATATATAGGTTATGTTTGTAAAGTTTCAAAAGTATAGATAAAGTAATGCAAGATAAAGAAAATAGAAAGGTACTAAAAGCAGTTTTCCACTCGAATTTGTGGACCTATTTGTAAAAAAATATTTATGTACTTAGCTGAATAAAAATAAATTTGGTTACCGAATTGTAATAATTAAAAAATCAATACGTTAAGTGACTTATTGACATGATCTCTCCGGATCCTAGAGGGTCAGAGAGAATCAAGAAGGAAACATGAGTGAAAGGAAGCTAATCCGTTATATAAGTTTACTTTTTAGATGCGGGTAAGAAGTGGATCAAGCCAATTTTAAGTGCCCTACATAGAGAGTGGATCAGGTCAGTAACCTTATGGTAAGTAACCATGATGAACCCGTCCACATCATCATGACATCAACATCCCTCTCTCTCTTGGAAAGTAATTTTATATTTTCTCCTTTAATCTTTAACGGACGATTTCTCTCTCGTTTTAAGTTAAAATTTAAATTTTTTTGCACAGATAAATCATATTAAATGTGTTTTTAAAAAATTATATCTACTTTGATATATTTTTAGTACAAAAAAATTGGGTTATTTTTTACCAGTCATTACCATATGGTATGTTCCTATTTAATACAATATAGTAAGAAAGCGTATCATGATGGTAAGAACATACCAATATGGTAAGAAGATTGAATACATGATAGTAGGAGTATACTAACTGTCATTTACGACTTTCATCATTGTTTAATACAAGTTACCACCCACATACCATAGTGGTAAAGTATGGCAATTTTTAGTCCGGTATTTTTTTCACCCAGAAATTTGTGGATCCAATAGATCATGATGAACTCGTTCTTTCTGAGCAAACATTTTCAAAAACGACTTAAAAACGAAGAAGTTACCATATGGTATGTAGTTGGTAACGGGTGGTATGAAAAACAGTTTCTCGAAATATATTGAAAATTGATCTCATTTTGTAGAGCACAACGAACTCGTTCTATCTGTGCAACAAACCCCCAAACTCATATGCACTTCACCCATACTCAACCTATTATCAATGGATCTACTTGGGTTAATGCCATCCCTAGTTATGAGAGGTAAGATCCCCGAGATGTAAATCTAAAACCAAATCATAAGCTTACAACTATGCATACTTAATAGTAGGGCTGGCTATTTGGTCCCGGACTGTTTGGCTTTACTCGAAACGGACCGTATAACCCGGATCGGGACCATACTGGGACCGGATAGCAAACAATGCAATCTCATATTCGGGCTTAGATTTGAGATAAAAAACCGGATAAGAGACCCCCCAACACCTAAAATCAAGATAAAATTGGGACCGAACCGAGTCAAGACCGGACTGTATCCAATCCAATCTTTGGTCCTTATATTCCCGAAAAGACCGGACTTGGACCGAATCAATTTGGTCCAATTTAACCGGACCGAACCGTATAGCCATCCCTACTTAATAGCATGCAAATTAATATATTCAATCGTGATACTAACTATAAACGTACTGGATTATACAATCCATTAATCCAACGTGGTTTATGGAGCGTTGTCGATTGTGTCAGGTGTCGAAAGAAAAAAAATTATGAGATCTCAAAGATATATGCTTTTACTGAATTGTACAACCTCTCAGAGGGAGAGAATCGTGCAATAATTTAGGAGGATGAATCTAACCGACCTTGTTGACCATAGTTTAACTAATGCTGAACTAAGTTGGTATTCTTATCGTTTATCAATAATATCTTTTCGACTTAAGTCATCAATTATGTAATCGCCCTAGTTTGATTAACGATGAACTAAAATGAACCCAGATGATCCAAGGGTTTATGGTATTCTCAATAATTAACTTACTATAAATGGAGACAAGTGATAAGTGAAGTGACTAAAGACCAACAAGCTACAATCTTACATTATACGTCACATAAATAAAGGGTAAATGACACATTTGGTCACTGAGATTACTAAATAGTGTCATATTTAGTCACTAGAAAAATTTAATATCAATTTTGGTCACTCGAATTACTGACACAGGTCACATTTGGTCACTCTTCTATAGCCTCTGTCCAACTCCGGTCACTCGAATTATTGAAAAATGTCACATTTAGTCACGCGTATTACTGAAACATGTCACATTTAGTCACTCTCCCAAAAGTTTCCGTCCAACTACATTAATGGAGTTGGACGGAAACTGACGGGAGAGTGACTAAATTTGACCAGTTTCGGTAATTCGAGTGACCAAAATTGATATTAATTTTTTCTAGTGACTAAACTTGACACAATTTAATAATCTCAGTGACCAAATGTGTCATTTACCCCATAAATAAAGGGAGTTGCTATTCGTCGCCCTACATATTTGAATTTGTCGCCCTAAATCATATTAAAATTACACGCTTACCCTTCATTAAATTTTGATCCATTCCCCTCCTCCCTCTCCATTCCAACCGCCGACCACCATCAATGAATCTCTACAATGGGGAGAGGCCCGGCCGGCAGCCCACCTCAATCTGGCTTCCGCCTCCTACCTTTGCTGCTTTGCTTTTGTCAGCTTCTGTTGATCTTGAATAAGAAGAAAGAATCGCCATCATCCAGCTGTCGGAAGAGGAAGAAGAGAGCTGATGCGTCGGGTTCTGGGAACGGGTCAACGACCTGTCTCGCCATCGTCGGCGACAGGTTTCCAACCCGTTAGGCGAGCAGTCTAGATGGGTAGAATACCCGTTCCTTCCATCTGTCGCACGGGAACTCAACCCGCCTCTAGCATGATTCGACAGGAATTCAATTCGTCCGTATCCTTAGCCCAAAAAATGAGGATTGGGAAGATTCTTTTCGCGGCAGTGACGGTCGGCGGGATCGGGATATGGGTCTTCTTCGCCTTCTGCTTCATTCTTTCCCTTTCTTTTTCTTTCTAATTTTATTATATTTGTTGAAATTGATTTATCGGAGACGGGAAAAGGGGAATGGATCTGGGAGAAGAAATAAATGGACTTGGGAATTGACAGGGACTTAAGCGGCCGGCGGCGGAGGTCTGTTGTGGAGTGGAAATTTGTTTACAAATCAGGGGTAAATGCGTACATTTGGTACAGTTTAGGGCGATAAAATTTAAATTTTAGGGCGAAATAGCGATTCAGTAAATAAATTATAAAGAAAATGACAACTTGGCCACAGCCATCTTTGAGATCCGCCAGCCGCCGCCCCTGCCTACCACCGGTTCCCCGCCACGTTAATCTTTTGGGGATCGGAAGCACGAAACGTTTCTTTTTGTTTTTTCTCGATTCACCGTAACCACCACGAATCCCGGTCATCGGAAGCGCCGACCAACCTCAGCTCCAAAACCCGAACCCCGTCGGCGGCGGCGAGAGCTTCGCGGGGACGAAACAAGCTGTTGTCCCTGCAGAGCGGGCAGGTCCGGCCACCGCCGCCGCCGCGGGATTGGAACCATCGGTCCAAGCACGGCCGGTGGAATAGATGGCTGCATCTCAATTTGCTGACTTCTTCCCGTTGCTTCATGTGAATTAGGCAAATTGAGCAGCAGTCGTCATCATCTTCTTGTGGGCTTGCTTCGGATTTGCAGTAGTGGGTGGTGATGAGGCCGATTGAGGGATCGGAAAAACAGAGCTCCCTGTTGGGATTGAAGATTTGGAGGTTGGAAAACAGGAAATCGGAAGCCCATTTCAAGTGGGCAGAGGCGGAGATCAAGGCCATCAGTTTTGACATGGTTTAATTTCTCTTTGGGGACGGCGGCGACTTCGTGGCGGGAGGAGGAAGGACTGTTTTGGGGGGTGAGACGTGCGTAGCATCCAGGGGAATCAGGAAAACGGTGGAAGGATAAGTAAAGGGATGTTTTATAAATGAAGATATTTTGTTTCTTGTCTGAAAAAGTTGATGGATTTTTTTTATATGCTATTGGAGAGGGGTGTATGATGTGGGGGAAATTTGGTCTTCGTGTACAAAATTGATGAGGAAGTGGCTAGAGCAAATTCTTATTCAAATATGACAAGAGGGATCATTTGTTTTGATATTTATTAATTTACTAATGATATATGTTTAGTTTAGTTTAGTTCGGTTCATTTCATGTATTAACAATCCACCAACCATGAGTGTAGGTGTAAAGTGTGTTACAACACTCAAATGCATTAAATAACTAATTTACATTTTCCAATCCAAGTTTGCCAAATACACTCAATAAACAAGAGAGATAGTAGGAATATGAAAGTGTGCTCTCAAAATTGAAGAATGGTATACTAATGTTCGAGATTTCATACAAATTTTGACTTTCAATAATCAAGTTCAATATTGAATCTGCTAAGAGTGTGATGGAGATCGATAGTTCCTTCGTAATAATGTAGTGAGTTCTAAGTAATCCCAAATTTCTAATAAAATACTTGTTTTAGACAAGTCTATCTTTGAAACAACCTTCTTAAACACCCAAGTACGCTGAAGAAAAATTTGGCAGTTCCCCCAAACCCACTTCTCTCAAGATGTTGCGATAAAGCGTCTATCATCTTTTAATGGACTATGAATATTGAAGCAATACGTACGATGGTTCGAATTTAAGATTCGTTATTGAACCATACTACCTAGTTTCTGTAGCCCACTTCTTCCCAAGTGTCAATGAGGTATTGAGGTTACAAGTCATGTAGAGGTTCAAAAATAAAGAAGAAATTATAGCTATCTTAGTACTATATTAATGTCAGATCTTGAGCCGATTGAAAAGAGTAGTGGTAGAGTTAGGTTGAATACAGAAGGGATATAGTTCACCTCAATTTTGAGATATATAAAAAATTACCTATTAATTTTGTAAGAATTTAAAGAGATAAGGTAGTGGTTAAGGTTTGAGCTCTTCTCCAATTATCTCATTTCTAATCAACCTCCTAGTCAATTTTGTGGCCGTGCCAGGCTTAATTGCAAGTTTGGTCACTCGAATTGCTATAAAATTTCACGTTTGTTACTCAAATTAATTTATTCAATTAATAGTCACTTAAATTAATTTCGTAGTTCAAGTTTAGTCACTGGCCGTTAGTCTACGTCAGTCTCTGTTAACACCGTTAGTTAAATGCTGATATGGCTGACCAAAATGTCTAGTCACCCACTTTTAACCCAAAATAATTAAAAATTCGACCCTCCACATCATAAAAAACTGCCACGTCACAAAAACCAACTTGTAACCAAACCCAAAACTGACCCGACCCAAATCCCTTCTCTTCTTCGATCCTCCCTCACCGCCTCCTCTTCTCCGATCCTCCGCCGATCTCCCCCACTCCTATCCTGTTGTTCCTCATCCTCCTCCCTGCAAAAATCCACAGCCCAAAACATCACTGAGATCCCCTGTCCCGTCGGCTCCATCGAGTTTCGGCAATGGCGACTCCCCTGCCTCCGCCGGCTCCACTGGATTTCGGCCTCTCCTCCATCTCCCAATCCTAATGTTCTCCATCTCCTCCACCACCACCTCTCTTCTAAATTTGGGAAACCGCCGCAGCTGCAGCAACCATGGAGAAGAAGAATTCCGCTGCTTCTTAGCGATTCCTCCTCTAACTTCTCTTCTCTCTTCCCCTCTTCCTCTAGACAAAGGCGAGAAAGGAGGCAAAACGTACCTATCAAACCAGAAGAAGAGGGGAGTTGGGAGAAATCTCTCACCCCGCCAGTCATACGAGCTATGGATGCTACCACTACCCACGTCGCTGCCGCAGTCATCGTCCAGGCTCAGGCTCGGGCTGGATGCGTTCAAATCGGCGACAACAAGGAGTCCCTGGTGGATTCCTTCCTTGTCGAGGCTCTCCAGAACCCACGCCGTCATCTCACCAGTCAGTTTCTGGTTTCCTTTTTATTCTTTGTCAATTCGCAAATTTCTTACTCGCTCGTCTGTTCGATCTAGTATATGTTGTGTGGTTGAATTGATTCCTGGCCATGTGGCTGTAGGGTTTAATTTTGGTTCTCTGATGTTTTTGTTGGTACATTGGTTGAGGATTAGGCTTTTGAGCCACAGAGATTGACTATTGGATTCTGGTGTAGATAGTTAGATCTAGTTATTGTGACGTTATTGAAGTTTGGGGGGATTTGTGGTAGACTGCAATGCTTAATGAGGAAGGTTCTTGCGTGGGCGAGCTGGGGATGAAATTTCCGGGCTGTCCCTTTGCAAACCCAGATTTTTCAGCTCTGTTGGAAACTCCGGTTTCTCGTCGGAAGAAATGAAGAACATGTTGTTGAATAAGGGTCTCGATGTTCAGATGCTTCTCGCGAACCCTGAACTCAAACCAGACAGTGGCGATTGGGATCTTCAAAGGTTGTTTGAGATTGGGAGTAGTTCGATTTCAGAGAAGCGGCGCCGGTGACGAGGGTTTGGGGCGGGGAGCCGAGTCTCGGCGAGAGGAAGGTGTCAAGAACATGGGTCTAGTCAGGGGTTGAGTGTGGGTTGACCTGGGTTTGCTTATATGATGTGGCAGAAGTTTTTTCTTTTTTGCTTAAAATTGGCCAACTCAGTGTCTCTGTTAGCCATGTCAGCAGTTAATTGACGGCACTAACAAAGTCTGACGGAGGTTAACGGAGAGTGACCGAACTTGGATTGTTCAACTAATTTAAGTGACCATGAATGGAATAAATTAATTTGAGTGGCAAACGTGAAATTTTGCAGCAATTCGAGTGACCAAACTTGCAATTAAACCGACCGTGCCACTATAAAAGAGAAGAGAAAGGAATGCCATTATTTTTATTTGATTTTTTAGCAAAGTTGTTTGAAAGTTCATTGAGAAATGAGAATACTTGAATCGTTTGTTTTGGGAATGGATCAGGTCAGTAACCTTATGGTGAGTAACTATGAGTAACCCGCCCACATCAGCATGACATCAGCATCCTCTCTCTCCTGGAAAGCCTTTAATTTTCTCCTCCTTAATCTTTGACGGACGATTTCTCACTCGTTTTAAGTCGAAATTTAATTTTTTTTTGCATAGTTAGATCAGATTAATTGTGCTCTTCAAAATGATATCCACTTTGATATATTTTTCGAACAAAAAAAATTGAGCCATTTTATACCAGTCTATACCATATGGTATTGACTGGTATTGAAATAAGAGCATACCTATGGTTTGAAAAGCGTACCATGGTGGTATGACACAAACCAAAACTGTAGGATGGTTGAATACATGATAATAGAAGTATATTAATTGTCATTTACGACTTTTAACATTGTATACCATAAGATACCACCCCGTACCAGGGTGGTATTGTGTGGTATTGTTTTGTCTTGTAATTTGTTCACCCAGAAATTTGTAGATCCAATAGATCATGATGAACTCGTCCCTGCTGTGCAAACGTTTTCAAAAACGAATTAAAAACGAAGAAGATACCATATGGTATGCAGTTGGTACCGAGAGGCCAGAATTTTTTTTTTCCTCAATAAATATTGAAAATTGATCTCATTTTGTAGAGCACGATGAACTCGTTCCATCTGTGCAAAAAAATTAAAATCCGAGTTAAAACGAAAACGATATGAGTCCATTAAGAAAGCTAGTGAAAATAAAAATAGCTTTTAATTCTCCATCCTTAGATCTGGATTTTCTAAATGAAGGGTCCAGATTTGGTTATTGATGGGTGCATAACCCCTAGTTATGCACCCTATCTTGAGCCGTTTGTTTTTAACTTCTTATTATTGAAACAAAAATAGCATTTTGTTGCTTGTTCCAATTCAATAGATGCCTATATATCAAGTATCCAAAATGAAAATTTTAGTGGATGAATTTGATAAAAGTTTAGTCAAGTGATCATATGATATTAACACAAAACTTAAGTGACCATTTTGGCCAACTGTCCCTTCCCTTCCTCCGAGTCAGGCACTCAGGCTGCAGTCTCTAAACCCTCCTTAACCCTCCGCATTCAAACTTCAAAGCTTGCCAAGAATCTCAGCCAAACGGGGTCGCCGGAAGCTGGAAACGAAGGCAAAACTCTGCATTAGCAGCGGCGGCGGCGGAAGCTGCTCCACTTCCTGAAAATGATGCGGTTACTGTGCCGCCGAATCCCCGAGCCTTGCCGCCCCGGCCACCACCACCGCACCTTAGTCGATTTCGCCGCAATTAAGCACGTCCGCGACCGGGGTTTCGATCATGCCGTGGAGAGGGAAATGCTTCTGAAGCCTCTATTGCAGCTCAAGAACTTCATAAAATCGGAGCCGGCCAAGTCTCTGCCGCTTCCGGTCATCTCCCAACACAAGGATTCCCTCCAGATACCTACTCGCCCCATCGAATTCATCCGGAAATACCCTTCGGTCTTCGAGGAATTCCACCCCGGCGGCATAGGGATTCACCCCCACATCAAGCTCACCCAACAGGTACTCGATCTCGACGCTGAGGAGCAATTAGTTTACCAGAGCGAAAGTTACAAGCAGGATGTTGCCGATAGACTTGTCAAGCTGGTCATGCTTGCGCGAATTGATAAAATTCCGTTAAACGTTCTTGATTGCATAAAATGGGATCTGGGTTTGCCTGATGATTATGCGAAAAGCATAGTTCCTGAGTTTCCTGATTACTTCAGGGTTGTGGGTAGCAAGAATTCGTCGACCCGGCTGGGGCCAGAGGTGGCATTGGAGCTGGTATGCTGGAGTGATGAATTGTCTGTTTCAGTGATGGAGAAGAAGGCCAAAAGTGGAGGTAAGGTTTACGAAAAGGGGAAGCCTCTTTCGTTCCAGATGCAGTTTTCGACAGGTTTTGAGATGGACGAGAAGGTGAAGAAGTGGTTTGATGAGTGGCAAAAGTTGCCTTATATCTCTCCATATGAAAATGCAACACACCTCGGCTCTACTACTGATGAGGCAGATAAATGGGCGGCTGGACTTTTGCATGAGCTTCTGAATCTGTTTGTTTCAAAGAAGGCTGACAAGGAGGGTTTGCTATACGTGGGAGAGTGGTTGGGCATTCGATCATTGTTCAAGAGAGCATTGCTTAACCACCCTGGGATATTTTATGTTTCTGGTAAGATGGGAACATATACAGTAGTTCTAAAGGAGGGGTACAAAAGAGGATGGTTAGCTGAGAAGAATGAAATTGTTGATATTAGAAGTCGATACATGCATCTTATGCACTTGGTGCCTGAGGATCGTAAAGCAACTACCAATGCCCCTGCTGGAAGCAAGAAAGAGGAGAAGAAGACATCTAAGCAACCGGGAGAGAACAATAAAAATCATGAAAAGGATGCTTCAGCAAATTCTAAAGCATCTGAGCTTGATGATAGTGTTGATGAGGATGCATATGACGATGAAGATGAAGAAGATAATGATGAAGTAGAGGATAAGAAACATGGCAGTGGTCATGGAAATGCTGTAATAAAAAAGGGGAGAGCAGGTAATGTAAGGAATATGGATGTGAGGGGGCCTTCAAGGGGTCCAAGAAGAGAAAGGTCAGTTGATAGACCTTATAGGAAGAATGTGGATGTAAGAGCAGAAGATTTCAGAAGAACAGATACGCACAGCAATTTGGACACAAGGGGGGCGTTCAAGGGATTCAAGAAGAGAACGTCCAGATGAGAAAACATATAGGAGTTTGGATATGAGGGGGTCTTCAAGTGGCCCAAGAAGGGAAAGGCCAGTTGATAGACCTTATAGGAAGAGTATGGATACGAGAACAGAAGATTCCAGAAGAACTGAAACACGAAGGAATTGGGACGTCAGGGGGCGTTCAAGGGATTCAAGAAGAGAACACTCAGATGAGAAACCTTATAGGAAGAGTGAAAATAAAGTTAGGTCAGATGATTCCCAAGCAACTGACCCACGTTCATGGAGTAATTTCAGGGGAAACACAGGGGAAAAGGGCAGATTTCCCCAAGAAGATGAACCTGTAACTGATAAGAGTATTGCTAGTTAGTGTTGAAACATAAACTTGGCAGTGGCAGGTTAGTTTTGGCATTCTTTTTGTGTTGTTATCCTCCTTATTTCACCTATTTGAATTTAGACATATGCTTTCTTGCTGTGTCGTCCTTAATTTGCTGTTAAGGAAAATGTTTGTGATATGGTCTGCTGCTCTACTTCCTATTCGGTGTTTTCATGATCATAGTTGGTGGGATGATTTGTTAGCGGTACGATGTTGCCATGTAAACTGGTGATTTTGATTCCCATCTTCATTTTGATACTTTATTTAGTAAAATTGTTATGTGTATCATATCCACTTTAGCTAAGGACTTCGTTTACCTCTTCCTTTATCTATGATAGTGTAAAGATGGGTTTTACTATTTCTATGCAGGACGAATTAAGTTCTCCAGTTGTCCTGGTAATTTGATAATCTCTCCCTGAACACTGTACCAAACTGGCTGCACGGCTGAAGGCAAGTTACTATAAACTGGAGGGTCTTCTGATGTCTGTTTCTTAGTGGTTGCTGCTACATTTCTCTGCAACTGATCGTGTAGTCGTTGTTTCAGATGCTGTGGCATCAGATTCCAGTCAAGATCTGTACATTCCTCTGGACAGTGCATCAGAAGAAAATCCTTATCCAAGACCTCTTGAAGAGGTGGGGATGGATGCTCCCAAGCAGATGTGCTCTCTGCAAAGCAAGCGAAGAGAGCGCCAACCATATCTTCCTTTCATGCAATTATACAAGAGAGGTATGGACCATCATTCAAACCTTCATTCCTGTATGTCACTTGCACACAGTTATCTCGGAGGCAATCAGAACATCTGGCCCCATTCTACACCAAGTAATCCCAAGGAATGGTGCACAAAATCCTTAATCCATGCCCTATGTTGGTGCATCTGGAAAGAGAGGAACAACCGGATATTTGAGGACAAGCCAACCCCAGTGCAGGTTACAGCTCTCAGAATCAGCAGCATGATTGCCGGGTGGCTCATGGCAGCAGATAAGGTAGACAAGCTCATTGCAGAGGCATGGTTGAGAACTTTGAAGAGGAGGCTCATTCCACCAAATGAGAGAAGAAGATGATGATGTTCCTCTGCGTGAATGGACTCTCCACTAAATGAGAAAAGAAGATGATGATGTTCCTCTGCCATGTTGCTTCTGCAAATTAGCAGGATATTGCTCGCTGAAGATCTTCAAGCCAGTTTTTTTGCACAAGGCTGGCCATAGATGGCCCACTGGGGGGTTTAAAGCTGCTCTTATTAGTTTTTTGCTTTCCTTTCCCAATTGTATTGCCTGTGTTTTGGCACTAGGATTGTGGCCCGCCCTTTTGGACTGTTTGTTTGGGCCCTTTGTTTCTCGGGGTTGTCAACCCGCGGGTTGACCCACGGGTCGACCCAATTTGACCCTGACCCGGCGAGAAAAACGGGCCGCATGCACCCGCCGGGTCGACCGTACCGGGTTGGAGGTCAAATTGTGTCAATTTTTTCTTTAGTTTGCGAAATGTGCCTATTTTCCAATTTTTCTTTTCGCCTAACTCAATCTTTGGAATACTAAGTTGAACATTTGAATATTTATGTTATATAAGTGTGTGTGAATTTTCACTATATGTTGGATCTAAGTACGATATGTTATTTTGGTGTAATATTATATGTTATAACTCATATGTTAGATAAGATTTGATATAATTTATGAGAATAAGTACAATATAATGACTCTTTCTATATTTCCGGGCCAAACCGAGCTAAAACGGTTGACCCATTAACCCGTGACCCACTAGCTCGACCGGGTCCGGGTCAACCCGCGGGTTGACAACCCTTTCTCCGTTCTTTGTAGTTTGTTCTGTTACCCGTCTGTTGACTTGAGGTCATTTGGATCCACGTTTTTAAATTGTGGGATTTTGGCTCAAATCACTGGTTTAAAAATCTAGGTTTTTAATTTGTGGAATTTGTGTGGGATTTTAAAATAGCTGATCACCATCAGCTATTTCATAATCCCACAATTGTGGGTTTCTGAAATCTCTAATATTTAAAATCTCTTATCATATAATTGCTTTCCAAACGAGTGATTTTAATAAAATCTCACATTATATAGGATTGTGCCCAAATCCCACACCCAAAACCTGCATCCAAATGACCCCTTGGACTCATTTGGTTTCCTCTCATTTTTGTTTGGTCCTTCTGGATGAGCTTTTTTGCCATTGTTGTAGTGTAAATTAAATCTTTTCATTCTACTTGCCATATTTGTTCCCTTAATAATTTGATTAAAGAAAATCAGGAGATAGATAAATCCAGCCGCCTTACTCTCTTTACACTCCTCCCTTTGTCTGTCTTTTTTATTTTATTTTTTGTCTTTCGGTTCGGCTCTTGCGAACCGTTTTTTTCTCCAGACACTGGTTTGTTTGTGTAATATTAGGTGAATCAGATTAACAAAATACGAGTTATTTACTTATTTATGGACACATATTGAGGTTAAATGGAAAAGTTTTTATAAGAACTCTGAAGCTAAACGTGCTTGTTGTAGGGTACTGTAATGATGAGTAATCTCATGAAAAGTCACCTTCATATGCACTCTAAGGCAAAATCCATGAGAGTCTAGACGCAAAGCGGACAATATATTATCAGAAAAAAGATTTGAGATGTTATACAACCTGCAAGTGGTATTAGACCCTCTCCGTATCTCTCTTGAACGATGGTGGGGAAAACTTCAATGAAGACGTTGAGTCCCAGAGGGGTGTATATAACTCTTTAGGCGAATCCTACATCGACAAAGCACGGAAGAGATCCATGGTTCATAAGTAAGAACCCGACCTTAACTAACAATACGCGTTTTGGGTGAAATAAAATAGTTCTTCTTAAGAACTCTGGAGTTAAACCTGCTCGCCGTAGAATACTACAAGAATGAGTTAGCTTACGGAAAGTCACCTTGATATGCACCCTAAGGCAAAATCCGTACCGATCTAGATCCAAACTAAAAAATATCTTGTCTCGAAAAAGTTCGGTATGTTACGGTTTCCTTCTTTTTCTCAATAAATTCTTTTCACCCTTGTAAAAAAAAAATCCAGCCGCCCAATATTTGTTTTCATGTAGTAATAATGTAAATTAATAAGTATATGATATTGAACGATAATGCATTTTTGTATTTTAATTTGTTTGTTCCTCTATAGTGATTGAGGTGATGTCTATAATAATAAATTCATATTATATTATGCTTTAGGCTAAATTTATAAGAGACCACACTCTTAACTTATATACCAAAACAATAATGCGTTGAGGCCTGTAGGACCGCAAACAATCAACCATCCACTTGTTGGAGTAGGTTAAGAAATTACGCTATGAACCATCCCGATTCAAAGTGCTTGATTCATCATATACAGATAAATTCTTTTAACTCGTTTTTATTTTTATTTTTATAAAGACGGAGTATATTCTGTTTTTATTGTGAAGTGTTAGTTAAAGAATTTGAATATGAAATTTCCAAGTTAAAATTTACAATAGGAATATTAGGTTAACTCCTTATTCATACTTTAACTCATTTTACTGGAAAATCTCATTGTGAAAATTTTAGGAAAAGACCACATGATAAAGTTATTACTCCTCTGAATCAAGCACTTCTAAATTTTAATAACATGTGAAGTTCTTAATCAATAATTTTTGCATCTCGTAATAACTCGACGTCAAACGAGATCTTAGATATTTATATTTCTCAAAGACTCGTCTTCAAGAAGATTTTTTGACTCGCAAACCTCTGATTGACAAAATGGTAGCCAGGGTAAGAGGTTGGAAGGCAAAAACACTCACTTATGCAGGTCGCATTGAGTTGGTTGGATAAGTTTTATACAGTTTGACTCAGTTCTGGATGTCTGTATTTCTTCTTCCAAAATCTGTTATAAGAGAGGTGGAGAAAATCTGCAGTGATTTTATTTGGGGGGTGGAATCAGGAATGAAATTACGAGCAAATGTGGCCTGGAAGCATCTCACCTTTCCTAAAAGGGAAGGGGGGATTGGGGTTTAGGGACTTAACCAGCTGGAACCAGGCGTGTATGCTAGGCATATTTGGCTGATTTTGATGCAGGAGGGGTCTCTCTGGGTAATTTGGATAAACAGATACAAGCTCAAAGGGAGGAACTTCTGGACTTATACTTGTTCTTCGGGTTCATGGAATTGGAAGAAGTTGTTAAAGCTTCGTTTTAAAGTGGGTGCCTTTATTTCATATCGAGGTGAAGAGATACTGCTGGATGGTTCTCCTATGTCAAAGTTTTCTATTAAGAGGGCCTGGGATTTGCTGAGGCCTACTGGCAGTGCTGTTAGCTGGTGGAAACTCCTCTGGAAGGGCAAGGGAATCCCTAGAAATCGAAACATTACCTGGTTGGTATTGAGGAATAGCATTAACACAAAGATGAGAATGCAGAATTGGGGATATGCAGGAGATATGAGATGTTGTTTATGTGATTCTGATACTGAGGACATAGAGCATTTATTTGTTCATTGTCATGTGTCCAGACAGATATATATTTCTCTATTTGGCAGGGTGCTGAGACTTCCAGATGTGCAGAGCTGGAGTGAAGAGGTTGATTAAATTGTTTCAAAGCTCAAGGTGCAGACTGAGATGGCTGAAGTAGGTCGGGTAATATGGCAGAGCTGGGTTAGCAACATATGGAGGGAACGATGTCGAAGATTGTATGCTGGAAAGGTTTTGCACACGAATGAGCTGCTGAAGGTGATAAAGAGTGAGGTGGAGTGCTTTATAGGTAGTCATCGAGTTGCCCTGTTTTGGGGCTAGAGTAGGACTAGTTTCTGAGGCCTTTGTAATTTGCTTTAAAGCTGACATTTTGAACACTTTACCTAGCTAACAGGGTAGTTGTTAGCACTCTTTTTTTATTTTTATGAAATGAAACCCAACGATTCATAAAAAAAAAAAAGCAGTCATTCAATTTAATCATTTTCATTTCAAGTATTTGTAGTTAACTTGCTAATCTTTTTTTCTTACAGGCTAACTATAAGAGGGCGTGTGAGGGAAAGGGGAAACTGTTAGACCAAAACCTCTTTTTGCATAATTTGTTTAAAAAACTAAGCACCATCTCTATGTTGTTTTTTTTAAATAAATAAGTGAATTATTTGGATGTGATATTTTAATGAGATATTTGGGAAAGAGTACCTCAAAAGTCAAAAATAGACAATTCTATACAATTATTTTCAAATATCTTCCGCAAAATGCATGCCCTACCAAACTCGATGGATTTGTGATTAAAATACTGGTTAAATCATGCTAGTTGCCCCTTATGCTGGTCGTCTTCCCTCCCACTAGCTTGGTAAATTTTTTACGCTTTTACGTATGTAAATTTTTTACGCTTTTACGTATGATAATTTATAAAATTTGGTATTTATGTCAAGCACAATATGACATGAGATTGATGATCTCGTAACACTAATTAACCCCTCAAAAAATTTAATGCACAGGCTTGAAATTTGCACAAATTCGAACACACTATGTCAAACAAAATAGACGGAGGTCGTCATCGAGATTTGAATAGATTCTTATTCCGATTTGCATGCAGCTGGTATCGACGAACATAATATACACAATTAAACATACACTAAGCTATATAGCTAGCTAGTTAATTACATGCTGCGCAGATATAATTATCTTAGCCTAAACTCAGCTAGCTAGCGGAGCCACCAAGTGTGGCGGCGAGTGTCGTCGTCGGAGCAAACGAGACGAGCAAAATCAAACACCAACACTTCCGGCGCCCCAGCGGTCAAGGAGCGGCGGCAGAGTGGACACGTGGGGCGGCGGCGGCGGGGGTGAAGAAGGAGAACTCCGACCATCTCTCCAGACATACTTGATGGAACGCGTGGCGACACGTCAGCTCCGGGACCTCGTCGCCTTCTTCGATCCCCGACAAGCACACCGCGCACTCCTCGACGTCCTCGTCGGCGGCCCCGTGGTAGCGAGGTGCGGCGGCGGCCGGCCGGCCTTGCAGAAGAAGAAGAAGGTGGGAGTGGGAGTGGGGATGGAAGAAGGAAGTGTGGAGAAGAATTTCCCATACCCATTTCAAGAAACTCAGCATCACTGTTATGCCTCCCCAACCACTTTCCATGCATCCATTTTCTCTAATGATCAATTGCCGGCGATAACAAAGGAAATTTGGAGTGATAAAACCTAGCTTGCTTTTCTCATTACTTTCACTGCCAATTTATAGGCGGAACAAGGAAGAAGATGACAAAGTTCATACATCTGTTTTGTAGCTTGGAATGGAAACAACTACTGTCTTGGAACGAAAGGAAACACAAGTATCAACTGGGAAAGAACAATACGCAGCACATTACATCAAACGACATCGCAACAAAGGCATCTTGGCTTGGTTCCAAACAACAGCGCAGCAGGAAAGGAAACAAACGACAACGCATCGATAAGTCTCGGAATGAGGAAGGAACGACGTCGCAGGGAAGATGATCGTTGAAATTGATTTTCAATCTGTTACCCCCCCCCCCCCCCGGCAAGCTGGTGGGCAGAGGTTTCGCACACCAAGCTTGGAGAGCAATGTGTTGAATGGAGCTGGGGAAAGTGGTTTTGTGAAGAGATCGGCGAGCTGATGAGAAGAGGAGATGTGAAGAAGTTTGAGAGTACCAGTCTGGAGCTTTTCTCTGACGAAGTGACAGTCTAATTCGATGTGCTTTGTCCTTTCATGGAAAGTGGGGTTCTTGGCGATGTAGATGGCACTTTGGTTGTCGCAGTAGAGGTTGGCAGGAAGAGATGTAGAGACCTGGAAATCTTGGAGTAGATATTGAAGCCACTGGATTTCAGAGGCAGTAAAGGCAAGAGCGCGATATTCAGCCTCACAGGAGGATCTAGAAACGGTATGTTGCTTCTTGCTTTTCCATGAGATGAGAGAATCACCCAGATATATGCAAAAACCAGTTGTTGATCGCCTTGTATCCACACAGGCAGCCCAGTCTGAATCTGTGAAAGCTTTCAATTGAAAGGAACCCTTGGAGGGGAAGAAAAGACCTGATGCTGGTGCTGATTTGAGGTATCTCAGAACCCTTAGAACAGCCTTGTAATGAATTGTAGATGGAGAGGTCATGAATTGGCTTAGCTGCTGTGTAACAAAGCTGATGTCTGGACGAGTAGTAGTCAAGTAGATTAGCTTGCCCACCAATGTTCTGTAGTGTTCTGGATCCTCATATGGAATGCTCTCATCATTGCTGAGATGTAATTTGTAGTCCATGGGGGTAGTGACAAGCTTTGAATCAAGAACAGTTGCTTCTTCAAGTATTTCCAATGTATATTTTCTCTGTGAAAGATGAATGCCAGAATTGCTTCTTGCTACTTCAATGCCTAGAAAATATCTCAAGTTGCCAAGATCTTTGATGCTGAATTCTCTGGGTAACAGCTCCTTCAATGCTTGTATTTCTGTTAAGTCATTGTCTCCTATAACCAGATCATCGACATAAATGAGAATGCATGTGTAGGAAGAAGATGTAACCTTGTAGAATAGGGAATGGTCTGCTTTGCTTTGAATGTAACCAAGCTGATGAAGCTTGTCTGTAAGCTTGGAGAACCATTGTCTGGAAGCTTGTTTCAGGCCATAAAGTGACTTCTTTAGTCGACAAACTGGGTTAGGTATGCCAGTAGGAGGAGTGAATCCCTGAGGTAGGGTCATGTAGACTTCTTCTTGTAGTTCTCCATTGAGAAATGCATTATCCACATCCAATTGATGGATATGCCAGTTTCTGAGGGCTGCAATAGCTAGGAATGTCCTGACAGTAGTCATTTTGATGACTGGGGCAAATGTGTCTTAAAAATCAATCCCTTCTTGTTGTGTGTTGCCTTTGGCAACCAATCTAGCTTTGTGTCTTTCAAGAGAACCACCAGAAAGAAACTTGTCCTTGTAAATCCATTTGTTTCCAATTGGTTTCTTGCCTGGTGGTAGTGAAACCACATCCCAGGTTTGGTTTTTGATCAAAGCCTTAATCTCTTGTTGCATAGCTTGATTCCAGATATCATGTTTAGAGGCTTCCTTGTAATTTTTTGGTTCTTGGTGACTGGAAATGCTCAGTAAGAATTTTCTGAATGGGAGAGAAAGATTGTTGTAGGAGAGAAGTGAGGAAAGGGAGTACCTGTTGTCTTTGATCTGGTGCAGATTTGAGTGATTGGTGCTGTTAGGACCTTGAGATAAGTAACAATGATAGTTCTGGACAAGATGGGAGGGGGGTTTTGATGTTCTGTCAGAACGTCTGACTTGAGGTTGAGGTTGAGGAGGGGGAGATGGTGGTGGTGGTGGTGGTGGTGGGGAAGGAGATACAGGAGAAGGAGAAGAAGCAGGTGATGGAGGTGTGGTGGAAGGAGGAGAAGAGGATGAAGTTGAATTGGAGGAGGAGGGATGGTTTGTACTATCAGTGGAGGTAGAAGGATCAACATTGTTTGGTCTAGAAGATGAAGTTGTTTCATGGATCAGAGGGGAATTTGGAGTAGGAATGGGGAATAGAATGTCTGGATCAGAGGGTAAAGGATCTTGTTCATGATTTGAATGGAATGGAAAATGAGATTCATAGAAGATGACATCTCTAGAGGTAAATGTTTCATGAGTAGATAAGTCATATAACTTGTACCCTTTTATACCAGGAGTGTAACCAATGAAGATTGATTTCCTGGCTCTTGGTTGGAATTTGGTTCTGTGGTTAGCCAGTGTGCTGGCATAACACAAACAACTAAAGACTCTCAAGTCAGTGAGGTCTGGTGGTCTGTTGTAAAGGATTTGGAATAAAGATTTGTTTGAAAGAACAGGGGTGGGGACTCTATTTATCAGGTGTACTGCATGTTTGACACAGTCACCCCAGAAAGCAGGAGGTAAGTTTGCTTGGAATTGAAGGGCTCTAGCAACAACAAGGATGTGTTGATGTTTCCTCTCTACCTTGCTGTTTTGTTGAGGTGTTTCAACACAGGACATTTCATGGAGAATGCCTGTTGAGTTAAAGAATTCTTCCATTTGGAATTCTTTACCCTGATCACTCCTAATGGTTTTGATGGTGGACTGAAATTGTCTTTGCATTTGGTGACAGAAAGCAATGAGTTTTGGTCTTGCTTCTGACTTTAAATGAAGGAGAATAAGCCAAGCCATTCTAGTGTAGTCATCAACTACAGTTAAGAAATATTTGAATCCATCATAAGAGGGAAGAAGGTTAGGACCCCAAATGTCAACATGTATGAGTTCAAAAGGTAACTGTGTTACAGACTGGCTGATAGGAAAATAAAGTCGTTTTTGCTTGGCAAAATGACAAACATCACATGGTTGATCCTTCTGAGTAGTAATGGAGGTACAAAATTGGTTGAGAAGTGGTATTTTAGAGTGAGATACATGTCCTAGTCTAAAATGCCACAAATCAAAGGTGGATGTAGAGGCAGCAGAAATCAATTTAGGAGGATGTGATGCTTGAAGGTAATAAAGTCCATTGTGAAGGCTAGCAGAACCAATCACTCTCTTCTGCTCCAAATCCTGTATAAGACAAGTAGTAGATTGAAAGGATAAGCTTATTGGTGTGGTGGAGGTCAATCTGCTCACAGACAGGAGGTTAAAGGTAAAGTGGGGAACAAACAGGGCATTTTGTAGAGTCAAGGCATCATGGCATTTTGCTGTGCCAGTGTGAGTTGCCTGGATTTGAGCTTCAGTGGAGAGAGTGATGAAAAAATTTGACAAAGGCCGTGGATTTGTTAAGTAGTCTAAGGAGCAGACTATGTGGTCTGAAGCTCCAGTATCAACAATCCATGGTTTTTGTATGTTGGTGATAGCATTGAAGACAGGAATTGAGAGAGAAGGAGTTGGAAGTATACCTTTGTTGCTAACAAAGGCAGCAGCAGAGAATGATGGTTGGTTCTTCTGAGCATTCATCAGATTCATGAGTTTGTCATAGTATGCTCTTGTGAGCTTGACTTCATCTGATGAAGAAGTGCTGGTGACAGCATTGGCAGCAGGAGGTCTACCTCTTCCAGTACCAAAAGTTGGATATTTGGGTACAAAATTCTGTGGATATTCATTTTTCTGAAAGCACTTGTCCTCTGTATGGCCTCTTCTTCTGCAATAAGAACAAGTGACTGGAGTACTGCTTGAAGTAAAGGAAGGCTTGGTCATTCCTGGTGGCCAACCATGTTTTTGAAAACAGATATACTCAGTATGGCCTTCTCTTTTGCAGAATGTGCAGTAGGGTGGTTTAGCAGAGGAGTTGAATCTTCTGTTTCCTCCTTGAATGGCAAATGATGACTGCTCTGTGTGGGGAGATGCCACCATTTTGTTGGATTGAGAACAATAGATCTGTCTTTCATGTTGCAACATTCTTTGAAAAACTCGATTGATGTTGGGAAGCTCATCACCAAACAGCACTTGTGCTCTGACTCTAGAGAAGTTTTCATTTAAACCTCGAAGAAACTTGATTACATAACTGGTTTCTTGATATTGAAGAACTCTTGTCATGGCAACACAGTCAATGTGGCTAGTGGGTGTACAAGTGCATGGAAGAAGTGGTTGATAGTTCTCTAACTCATCCTTTAGAGTAATGAGTTTTCCATAGTAGCCAGTAACAGTTTGGTTACCTTGTTGTAGGGAGGAAAGTGCTTCTTCAAGCTCGGCAATACGAATGAGATCACCGGATCCATAACGAGTTTGTAAGCTCTTCCATGCTTCTAAAGCTGTTTTGCAGGCGAGGATGGTCTTTCGAATCTCTGAAGAAGTAGACTGTTGGATCCAGCTGAGGATCATAACGTTGTTGCGAGTCCAGGCACCATACCTTGCATCAGTAGCAGCTGGCTCTGTGAGTGTTCCATTGATGAATCCGAGTTTATTTTTTGCAGCAAGGGCATTGAACAATGCCCTGCTCCAGTCATTGTAGTTTGTGGCTGTGAGCTTTTCAGCAACAAGGAGGGCTCCAGGTTGCTCTGATCTGTGAAGAAAGAAGGGGTCAGAAGAAGGATCCACAATATTTGGCTGTGGATCAGGAAGGGGCTGAGCTTCATTCTCAGCCATTGTAGAAGGGCGGCGGCTAGGGTTTTATCAGAGGCTCTGATACCATAACA